GAAACGTCACTGTCCCCTCTTGTGTCTGCTGCAGGGCTTGGCTCTGTGTCTTCAGGCACCAGATCTGAGACACTGGCTCTCTGGAAAAGTTGGGGACCAACAACAAGAGTCTAGGGGGACAAAGGGTGAGGCTGGAGCCAGCACTGTGGCCTGGGCAGGACTGCCAGATGTGATCGGGTCAAGCAAGGGCCCAAAGGCCCATGTGGTCAGGGCTGTCCTTAGGGGGTGGTCAGTGTGGCCATGGTCCTGAGCCGATGGCCTAGGGAGGGGACAACTGCCTCAAGGTGAGAAGGCTTGGGGATTTCTCCCGGGTCCCGCCTGAGGTCAGTGAGAGTGGTCCTCTGCATCTGCAGGTAGACGCTACCTATCCCAGGTGGGGGTTCAGGTGCCTCAGCCACCTCCTCTTCCCCAAAACATACCTGGGCCGACCCGCCCACGGCCCCCGGTGTTTTGACTCCCGGGTTGTTTGGTCAGAAGCTGCCACTTGCTACACTCACCCTCTCACCCCGGAAGGACTATAATTTGCCTTTCTAAGTGCTCATTTGTGGTTTCCAGACACTCGATGGTATAATTACAGAAACAGACTCGCCACCTCCCTGACTCGGGGTCAGGTGTACCTGTTGGCCCAGATTCGCAGCTGGACCTTCTGAGGCCGTCAGGCAGCCCAGGTTTTGCCCTTCCCCTCGCCCCTGGTCCTGGGCCCTCTCCCAAGGGCAGCAGAGGGAGCCCCTCGTTTGGCGGGAGAGGAGGCCTGAGATCAGAGAGCGAGGCCTGGCTTGCAGCAGGAGAATGGACGCAGGGAGCCAGGAGGCAGAGGGCAGGGTCTGTTCCTATTCTCCAGAACCCTGGGAAGAGGCAGCAGGGGCACGTTAGGACGGAGTCTGGGGCAGAGGCTTGAGGAGGGGGACGAGGTGAGGAGGGAGGGATCCTGGAACACAGTTCCCTCCCAGCAGACCTGGGGAAGGCTGACGCTGCTGGCACACGATGTCATTTCAGGCAGTGTCACAGCCTGTTTGAGAGTCTTGGTCTCATTTGAAGGTGTATTAGAAAACATGTCATTCAATCATCTACAAAGTTGCTTTATAAAATAAATACAGGAGGTAAACTCGCAAGCGAATTTAAAGAAAAAATATTAAAGAAAATAACAGTAGAGGTGGTTTGTGGATATGGGCAAAATCCTGACAGAGGCCCTTGAAGGACTGGAGTTTGGAAAGTACGTAAGGAGTCATACGATATCCGAGAGGGGCTCAGAGGCCGGAAAGGCCGGCGCAGGTGTGGACCGGCTGTGAGGGCTGCGACCAACTCCCCAGGGACATGAGCAGCATGGGATCTGGCAAGCTGCTGCTGTGTAGCCAGATTGGGATATAACCACGTTAGTCTCCCTGGGGCATCAGGGTCCTCGAGTCAGAAAAGGGGGACCAACGAAGATATGTCCCCAAATATAGAAAAATTTGCCAAAGGGAAAAAGGAACTGATCTTCTGTGTAACTCCACAGAGCAGAGCCACCACCGAGAAGTGGATGTTGGAAAGAGGCCGATTTCAGCTCACAGTGAGGAAGAACTTTGTTCTAGTGAGAACCGTCTGAATAGTGGGTCTGGGCAGAGGAGAGTTCCCCTTGCTGACCTCCAGTAGGGCTGGGGAAGGGCTCGCCATCTCTGGTCTCCCCTGGCAAGTTCAGTGTGACCCTCCAAAGAGGGAAAGTGGGAGGGAGGCAATGACTGTGTTCTCAGAGGCTGAGGAGAGGGTCTGTGACCAGGCAGCTCGTGGCCAGTGTTCCCGGGGCCCAGCCACATGCCGGAGGGGTGATGCTCCACAGGCCAATCGAAGGCTGATTCTGGTTGCTGGGAGCGGATGAACGAGAACAGGGAGAGTGAGACTGCGAAAACTTCCCTCGGCCCTCAGAGTTGTGGATGCGGACCCTGCCGCAGACATCTCAGGACTCTTGTCCTTGGAAAACAACCTCACCTGGATCTGAGCGTATTGGATTGAAGAACGTGGCCAACCTGCCACCCAACCTGAGGCCCAGCTTGAATCCCGGTCCCAGACCGAGGCAGGTAGTTGATGATGCTGGAGGCCTTTGGAAGCGCCGACCCAACTGAGTGGCAAGGTGGGGCCCAATTTGGTCACCTGGAACCGATGTTTGGGGTGAGACCATTTGTGCTGCTTTGGTTTCCTCAGGGAGCAAACCCAAGACATGACTTACTCTGCTCCTCCCACTTCCCTGCGGGGCTGTCCCCCACCAGGGGAAGAGCCGTAACCCCGCCATGCTCGTTTCCCTGGAGGGATACAGACAGGACACAGGCCGTGGGAATCCTCACGGGGGTGTAGGGGGAAGCGGAGGGCAGAAGTCCTGAGCAGCCCAGAGCCATTTCCAGGTAAAGGACTGTCTGTAGCTCGTGCTCCCAGCTGAGGTCATTATGAGATAAACCTATTAGACATGCCCTGTTCTCCTCAAGAACTGGAAGCTCTGTCAAAATTCTAACACAAAGGGCACTTTCTGTTCTCTGCCAACCAAGAGGGCTGTGGGGCTTTGGGCAGCTGGACGGGGCCCATGCCTTTTGGGGTGAGCCCTCTGGGGGCTGTCTGGGAAAGGGTGGGGATGGTTTCCACCACCTCCCTCCCAAAGAACTGGACCACTGGGAAGTGTCAGCATTTGTCCACCAGGCCAAGGTCCACAGGGAGACACCAACTGTGGGGTCATGTTCTAGGACAAACACATTCTTCACCAGCTGGCAGAGATTCTTCCTACGAACTGCCATCTTGCCTTTCTTGGCTTCGCCAGCATGAAGACCGTAGCTGAAGGCAGGCAATGGAGGGCGAGACCACTAGGTGGACAAAGGCAGCAACGGACGAAATCAGTTGGCCAGGAAATGAGGCCACTGAACTGCTGAGATACCAGTCCCCTCAAAAGAACAGGACAAAGCCCGGCAGAGCGGGGCTCTTCACCGAGCAGCCAGGCCCACCCCAAGCGGCCAGGCCCCAGCGTGGGGCAGGCGTGGACTTGAAGGTTCGCTCCCGTCCAAGAGTAACCAAAGGACGAGTCTACATCCAGCCCGAGTTCTTCCTTCCCTCAGCCAGTGAGTGAGCACCTGAGCCTGTCAGTCCACTCCGGGCACTGCTCCTGCCAAGCCTTGGGGCAAGGGAATGTCGGGGGTGGGAAAGGTCAATACTGAGGAAGATGGACTCAGGGACCCGATCCAGAGTGAACTCTCCCGCTGAGACCAGTGGCCAAAAACCCAGACTGCACACAGACCCTAGGGCAGGAAAACACACCTCCAGCAGAGGCTCTCCAGTAACGAATGCAGCCTGTTGACTGTTGTCCCATAGACCTGATCCAGTGCCTGGTGGGACAACATGTGGAACAGGCCAGTAAAGGAGAGAAAGGTGGTCCTCTGCAGTGGGCAGCTTTTGGAGTGGGGCTGCGAGGAGCAGAATTCAGGAAGGGGGAGGGGCAGGCAGGACTGGGGGAAGGAGGCAGGGAAGAGGTCTTGAATCTGGGAGAGGGTAACCTGGGTGTGGTGTGGAGGGTGCAGAGTAGATCCCCTTGGTGGAAGCAGAATCCGGATGGAGATGGTGCATTTGCGTCCTGTTGCTGCTGTAACAAATTACCAAAACACAAATTTATCCTCTCAGAGTTCTGGAGATCAGAGTCTGAAACGGGTCTCACTGGGCTAAAATCAAGGTGTCGGCAGGGCAGCATTTCTTCTGGAAGCTTTAGGGGGAATCTGTTTTCTTGTCTTTCCCAGCTTCTGGGGCCGCCCACATTCCTTGGCTCACCACCCCTTTCCACCCTTCTTCGAAGCTGACAATGTCACTCTGACTGCCTTTTCTGTCTTCCTCCTCCACACGGAAGGACCCTTAGGATTATCTTGGACCCACCGAGATAATCCAGGATAATTTCTCAATTTTAAAGTCAGTTGATTAGCAACCTTCATTCCTTCTGCAGCCTTAACTCCTCTTTGCCACGAAGCATGACATATTCCCGGGTTCGGGGGATGAGGGTGTGGACATCTCTGAGGGCTGGTATTCTCCCCACCATACATGGTAGTAAGGATGATGAGGAAGGGGGATCCAGAGGAATGAGGAGGTGAGTATAAGGCCAATAGAAGCTCCTGCATGTTCTTGAGCAAAGGGGGGACGGGAGATAACCTTGATTCTCAGGGTTGGAGTGAGATCATGTTCCAGACTCAGAACAATGGAGCCATGTTATGGCTGAGGACTTGCAGACCATAACGTGTTATTGTTCTCTGCTGAGGGCAGTGTGCCAAACTGCAGGAGGCCATGGCTGGCACCAGAGTGAGGGGGCCCAGCCCTCAGGGATGCCCAGGTCAGCTGGTGACTGGAGACTGCCCAAGAGGCTGAATAGGTCACGACATTCAGGCTGCAAGGCATCAATAGCCCTTGAGTGCCTCAGTGGCCCTGGACAGCGAGTCTGCAGGGTGAGGAGTCTCACCCTGGGTGGGTCAAGCCCTCGGGGCAGACTCAGAAACCGGTTGGGACTCCTGGGCTGCTGAGGAGGGAAGCATGGTACGGTGGGGGCACAGGAGGGTCATAGTGAATGGGGCTTTTGTTCTCTCTTTGGCACATGCCTGCTTGGGAGGGCTGATGGGTAAGTGGAGAACACTAGGTCCTCATAGATCCAGAGAGTTGGCAGTTCCATCCTGCGGGGGCCTCGCTGTGTTGACAGCCTTAGTGTGCCTCCAGAATCTCTTCATGCGTAGGTCTTGGGGTTTAGGGGCTGTGATCTAGTTAGAAAGAGGCGATGGTATGGCAGACCTGTCTCAAAGCTGGTTTGCAGAGGAGTTTCCGTTTAGGTGGTGTGTTTATTTAAGGAGGCTTTGGGGTGTGGGCTGCCCACGGTGCTCAAGGTCCCCTGAGCACCACTACTTGTGCTCTGGTTGAGAAGACAGGCTCTAGGAACATCCAGACCTGGGGTCAAATCTCACGTTTGATGCTTATTAGCTGTGTGACCTTAGATAAGACAGATTTCCTTTCTGGGGTTCAGAAAACAGCAATAACAATAGTGCTTTATTGCCTTGGATAATGTGAGTGTTAAATGAGACAATGCATGTTAAGTCCTAGCCCCACATTGGGCACACAGTAAGCAATTCAATAGCCATTCGTTTCAAAAAAGAGTGGGGGAAATGAGGTCCAACGTCACCAAAAGAAACGAGGCTACATATCGGAATGAAATGAAGTTAATTTCCTTTCTGAGTGGCGCAGCCTCAGGCAGGAGTTGATCTACTCCCTCTGAGGCCACTGGGTAGCCTGGCTCATTCTTAAGGGTCAAAAATGGCAAACGACACTCAGGCTGGGTCTTCCCATTTCATTCCCTCCTGTCGGTGGCCTCTGCTCATCTGGAGCGAAGCTCTGCCGGGCCTGTGTGGGTGTCTTGGCCATAGGGAGTTGCTGGGTTGGGAGAGGTGAGAAATAGAAGGAAAAACTGAAGGCTGAACCAAGATGCTGGACCACTCCTGAGGTGTCGGGGAAGTATTGTTGGTCACTTCTTGGCCCTGTGGAAACCACTGCCTTGGAGGCATCTGGGCCTTTGCCCCATCTCTGGTCCCAGGGAGAGAGGGAGAGGAGTGATGGTCCCCAAGCTTCCCCTCCAGGAAGGTTGTATAGGATGACCCCAATCCACTGGAGTCTTGCCCCAGAGGTCCCGCTGCCCCACCCCGGGTTCTGGAAGTCCAGAGAGGGGAGGGTCTCCCCAAGGTCATCCCCCATCTCCACTCAGGGATAGAGCTCCCTCTCCCTCAGGGTCCCTGGAAGATGCTGAGACACCTGAGTGACTGCCGAGTGTCAACCATGGTGAGACAAGGGCTTTAGGGTTCATATCCAGGCTCTGTCACTTACCAGCTACTTAACTCCTCTGGGCCTCAGTTTTCTTGTTTGTAAAATGGGCATCATAACAGGCCCACCTCATGAGGTCGTGAGTGGTAAATGAGTTACACTCGCTGTCTGGAACCATGCCTGGGCACAGTGAGTGCTGTGTAAGCATGGCTGCTCTGATTGTCTTCTGTCATGCCACAAAGCACATCCTGGGCACCGACCCACCCTGTGTTTCAAGGAGTTTGGGGATCACGGAAAGTCCAGAGTTTCAGAGAAGCTCCCCATCCAGTGATCGTCAGAGACATCTCACTCATTTGGAAGAGACTAGATCTTTGCCTCATGTTCTGTGTCAGGGAAGCCAAGACAGAGACAGAGACAGAGCCAGCACTCAGCGTAACTACCCTTCTAAGCATGAAAGCTGGGGAACAGTGGGCCCTGGGGTGGGGTGTGAATGGATCCACCTGGCTGAAGAGGGGAATTGAGGCTGAACGGCCATGGGAGCCCAGGCACTGGTAGGTGGAATGAAAGACATGGGGCCCCTGGAAACAGTTTCCGAGGACATGGATTTGGTTAGAGTCAGCCGAGAGCACGGTGGGGTTCTGAACACAGGCAACGGAGCCAGGTCTGAGTCCTCCCTCCTTGTATCCGTCAGTGGGAGGACAGGCAGGGGAGAGGGGCAGGACAGGAAGGGGTTTGCACCCTCCCATCTGTGGTCAGCGCCCCAGCCTGATGGGACCTGGTGGGACCTGGTGGCCTGGCACAGGCAAATGCCTTGGGGGAAAGGGCCTTGGTGCTGACTTTGGCTCAGAGGCTTGTCTCCACCCTGGAAAGGCCTGGGTCAGTGCCAGCGACTCTCAGGGCTGCACACAGGAGAGAGTCGGGAAGCAGTAAAATCACATCACCCATGACAGCCGGAGGTCAGCCCCTCCATCCACGCAGGCCTCCTTCCACCCTGGCCTCAAGAGAGGGTCCTGCGTAGGCAACCAACACATGCAGCCTTGGAGTGGGACGTCAATGGGCTCTTGCTGAAACCAGGGAGAGACAGTCAGGGCAATGGATGGCGTGCAGAACAGGGCAGACCTGGTCCTGGCTCTAACCCCATCTTGCTGAGGGATTTGGGGTTAGGGCTTCACCTCTCTGAACCCAGCCTCCTCCTCTCCTAGTGAATCGCCGAGGGACATCTGGGCATGGCTGGGAGGGGGTGGGGAGGAGTCAAAGCCAGAAGATTCTCATAGGAAAGTCTGGCCGGGGCTCACCCTGGATGGCTTGTGGGAACGGAGTTATCTGAAACCAAGTCAGGCTGAATTCCCCAACCCAGCCTTTGCGGGGCCACCCCCTCACGAGGCAAGTGGCGTGGCTTACTGTGCTGGCCCTGGCAAGGAGGTCGGGGAAGAGACCTGGCCCTGTCCTCAGACCCTGTGTCTCTCCCATGGGCCTGTCTTGTTCACCGCTGTGCCCCCACTGTGGCGGCTCAGTGCACAGCACCCCGCAGTTGCTCAAAACACGCATGTTGAATGAAGAAATGACTAAATGATCAGTGCAAGTGTTTCTGTGCTCTCTCTTCTCGGGTGCCTTTGAGGCTGTGTCTCTCTTGGAAAAAGCTAACAAGTTTTCACGAGGCCTCGACAGTGGCTACTGGTCTCAGTGGACAGTGAGCAAGGCCGGTGGTCTACGTGCCTGTGGGATGTGAAGACAGGAGCCGTGAGCACGTGCAGAAGATGTGGCCGGGCCGGGCAGGTGTCCATTCGCCTCCAGCACTGTCCAGACCCCGAGTGTGTTTCCTGAGGCTGGTCCTGGGAGAGGTGACATTTCCAGCCTCGGTGCTGTCGTCTCCTTTCTTCCCTATCGTATCATCTCAGTCTGTACTGATTCACTCCCAAGTCATTAGAGCTCACCCAAAGCCGAGGGGAAAGCAGGATGGAAGCAGGACTCTGTCCCCCGTGCCTGGCCCTACCTTGCCAGGATGAGGAAGCAGTGGCCCAAGCAGAAACTCCGAGAGAGCAGCTCCAGTCTCTCCTCCATGTGCCCAGCCCTCGTTGTGGTTACTGGAGTAGGAATAGAAAGGAGCAGGGAAGAAAGGAACATGGGGCAGGTTAAGAAGGTAAAAAAGCTTCCTTGCACGACTCTGACCTCGTAAGGATAGAAGTCTGGTATCAATGAATCGCATCCTGGCCTCTCCGTTGTACAGAAAGGCTGAAATTGCCGGAGTACCAGGCACGCTCACACCTGTGTGTAAGGACAAAGCAAATGCCAAGAAAATGGTAAAAGCTCTTCTTTGGTATTCACGATTTTTGATTCACGGATGCAAAGTCCATAGGGCAGTGTCTGCCACACAGAAAGTCCTGTACAAGTGTTTATCAAAAAAATGAAATCACCCTCATGGAAGGCAAAGCACAGAGGGTTTTGCTGTGTATCCTTTTTTTAGTCTCTCTGACTAATTAAAGTATTTGTTGATTTCCAGCCTACGGTTTCAATCAACTGAGGGGATTTTCAAAGACTTTGGTATGTCATTGGCAAAACACCCTTCAAATGAGGGAAGAACATTCCCAGACCTGCAGGGACCTGTTGGCGGGAGGCTGAGAGCTCCGTGGTACGCCTCTCGCCCCACAAGTGCCAATCGCCCGCCGAATCTGAGGGCTGGGGGCCAGGCTGCTCCCCACAGCCCCCTGCAAGTTTGCCCCACCCCTCCTGCCAACCCCGGCTCGAAATTACCATCCCAGCTGGCGCGGCCCCTCCCATGAGCTCGAGCCCCTTTCCTCCTGCATCTGCAGACTGTGCTCGTCTCCAGCGCCAGTGGGGGAAACTGCAGGGAGAGGTGGGGCCGGGTGTTCAGGGCCCCAACAATTCCAGGGCTGGGTTAGGACCAAGACACAGCCCAGCGTGGGCCCACAAGCTTCTGCTCCTATGCTGTGACCCACAATTTGTGTGAAGCCCTTCCACAGGTAAAGTCATCTCCAAGGGCCCACTTGTCACCCAAGTAATGGCAGCAGGGCCTCCAAAGCCCATCAGAGCCAAGGCGGTGTAGTTGCTTCACGTGTGGACATCTGCATTTCTACCCAGGCCTATTTTCAGATGCCGGGTCTGAAGGTCCTAGAGAGGCTGGGTGGGGTTCCCAGCATCACAAGGCAGCCCTGGCCAGACATGGCCGCTGTGGGATGGGTGGTGCATCCAGCTCCCCAGGCCCCAGAGGGGCCGTCCCCTCTACGCCCCTGTGATCCTGAGAATGCAGCTGAGATGAAAGTGGGCCCCAGAGGTGGGTTGGGGGCAGGATTCCCGCTGGCTCCCAGCGGGAGGTGGAGGCAGCGACAATCTTCCTGGAGGCTGAGGCTTTGTGAGGAGTTGCTGGGGCTGGAGCAGTGCTCCACCAGCTCTTCCAGCTCCTGCGGAATCTGGCTCGGTGCTCCCAGATGGGGCTGCCAACTGTCACCCAGGGAATAGGTGACTCATGCCTCAACTATTGCTCCCCACTTTTTGTGCTGAGCAGGCATGGGATAGGAGGTCTGGAAAGAAAGACGAGGACAATGCAGCTTTCTTTCTCTCCTGGGAGGGGACATGTTGGCTGGGGCAGGGCATGGGGGCCACTGGTAGCCTCCGGGCAGGGTACGGGGGAGAGGAGTGGAGGGAAGTCCAAGGAATGAAGAGTCATGAGCATGCCTGGGCTGAAGGGGACAAGAGGCCTGTCCTGTAGACATGGACCCTGGGACAGAAACAGATGGACAGGACTCTGGGATTTGGTGTGGGGCCAGGGAGGGCCTCACACCAAATCTGGGGAAGGAGTGGAGGGAGATGGCCTTAGGTCTGTCAATTCAATCCAAAAAATGTTTGCTGAGCACCTTCACTGTGCAAGGCTGGGCTGAGTGTGCAACGATGTGAAGATGAGCAGACGTGTTCCCTAACCTGAGGGAAAGTACCATTTGGTGAGACCTACAGGACATGTGCAAACCATCTTCTATTGAATAGACGTTCTGTTGACTGTGTTCTAGTCCATCCATCTTTTATCACAGGCATACAGATTGCGGGGGGCTCCGAGGAGGGGGCCCTGGGCTGGTGTTGCAGGATTTGCCTAATCATGCCCCATGGACACTTGCACCAATCCTACTCCCTGCCTGGTCTGTGAGGCACGTCGCTGTTTATGAAATGCTGCCAGTGTTCCATGTCCCCACACTCCTCTGTGAGGGAGGCCAGGGCAGTCATCATTGTCCCTCCTCTGCCAGGGACACCCGGAGGGTCAGCCACCGCGGCTCCCTTAGCCTTTCACTCATCTTTTGCAGATGAGAAAAACGATGCCTGGAGAAGCGAAGTCATGTGTCCTGCTAAGTCTTGGTAACTCCCTCTTCTGGGGCCCAGCAGAAAGCTCAGGGAGCTCCGTGTAATCCCTCTGTTCCTGCCCCAGTGGGATTCCAGGCTGGGTGGGACTCCCACACTGCTGGTGCCTGGCTCCCCACGGGCGCATCTCCACTATTTATAGCTGTCCAGGTCTGGCAGTGCGGGAGGGGTGCCCTGCCTGCTGGAGGTAGGGTTTCCACAGAACTTGGACAGAGACTGCCTCCCCCCAACCCCGCCTGGAGTCAGGCACCAAACCCTTCCCGCCACAGTTACTCACCACCCACAGATCTTCGGTCACTGGCATCTGAATCTGAGCTTGGCACATTCTAGCGATTCTCAGACTGGCCAGAATGCATTCCTGTTCCACCGAGTCCTACTCCTTCCACAACACAGCTGGGAGGAGAAGGAATGCAGAGAAGAGAATGTCCTAGTGTCTCAGGAGGGGTGGAGCTTTCCCCAGGGCAGTGGGGACCAAACCCAGGACCCGGGGAGGACACACGTACCCTCATGGAGCTCGTCCAGTGGAGAGGGAGAGTTAGAGGTAGGAGTCCCCAGACACTTGCTTCAAGCTGGGATCTGTTCTATCGGGGGCTGAGGGTCCCCCGATATGTCTCAGGACCCCTAAGACACTCACGTCTGATGCCTGAGACGCAACAAAGTGTGAAATTGATGAACTCAGTAAAATTCACCCCTGAGTTTCAGGAATTCTCCAGGCAGGGAGCCAAGGAGGGAGATCTCATTGCTCCAGACCTGTAAGCCTAGCTCTGGCCATTGGTCTGTCTGGATTTCCCTGTCCACGACTTTCTCATCAGCCCTCCGGGGAGCAATCACATCTCAGCTGATCCCTAGCGGCTCTGGGTCATTTTCGTACAGCTCTGGCTCCCTTGTGGCCAACCACAGGCCCTGACTAGAGAGTCCTGAGCCCAGGCTGGGTCTTCCTTTCTCTCCTCCTGCAAATGTACCTCCTCAGCGCCGGGGCTTTGAACCCATCCCCACCCCACCCCTACCTCCAGCCCCAGGGCAGGGGTGTCCCCCACAGCTCTCAGTGGCCCAAGTGTGGCCTGGGGGTCTTGCTTCTGTTTTGGGGAGGCAGCCTACTTAGATCTGGAGCCAAAAAGAGGGGGTGTAGTGGAGGACAGACACCTGCCAAAGCCTAACCAGACCCGCTGTCCCCCATCTGGCGCCACAGCCCACCTGGACAAGATTTGCAGAGGGGTCTTACGGAGGTCCACCCTAAAGCAACTGTGGCAGGTTGTTATGCCAGCTGCCCAGTCCCCGGAACCTGCTCTGGCAGGACAGTCCACAGCATGAAAACCCCGTTTTCCATTCCCCTGGCCCTGAAGGAGACTCTGGGCTGCAGCCGAGAGAAAGCACAGCAGTTCCCGCTGCTTGGCACGGAGCGGTCCGCCGTTATAACAGGTCTGCAGGTTCTCAACATGTTCCTGACGAGATTAGAAGCTCCTGCAGGTATGTGTTTGTGGCAGCCTACAGCCTGTATCGACAGATACGATGACTCATTTCTTCCCTGGTGGAATCACTGAGGGCTTGCTGGAACACACCCGGGGGGCCAGCGGAGCGGGCAGAGCAGCTCCCCCTGCAGAGAGACGTGACTGCCAGGCTGAGTCCCAGGACTTTCTGTGAGGGACCGCATGGGGCCCCTGGGTTTGTTAAGCCCCCGCAGGGTCCTGCCCAGGCTGAAGAACCAGCAAAAAGGTTAAGTGCTGCAGAAAACGCAGAATCAGGAGGAGCTGGGGAGGGCTAGGCCTGCCCTGCAGAGAGCAAAGTGGTAAATACCGGGGGCTGAGGGTATCCCCCCGTTCTCTGTTTCTGGAGCTTGGGGCGCCTTTCCGGCTGGAACTTTGCAGGAGAATCTGCCCAGCAGGCTCTGGGATAACTGCGCCTCCCCCAAGAGAGGAAATTCTGCAGGAAAGGACAGAGTTCTATCTTCCCCTCTGCACACAGCGGAGATCTCAGGCCACAGTTGCACTTCCAGGTGCTGAAGTCCCCATAGCAACCCCCTGCCTGGAAGAGTGAGAAGAGAAATCACTGCCAGTGGGAACTTACTTTGCCCCCGTTCACTGGCAGTGTACACTGCGCTGGGCGGTTGACAATATCCCCGGTCCCATAAGGATCCCTTGGGACATTGGCCAAATGCCCCCTTGCTTCCTGGCATCCTTGGGCTGTTCCCAGCCCTGGGCCTCAATGGCAAAGATGGACTCGCTGACAGCGTCGCCGACTTGCTGCTAAGACATCAGTGCTGCAAGGCAAGGTTATTCCTACCTAAGCAGGGCCTGCCAGGAAGAAAGTGTTTGCACCCCACACTGCCCGCGCAGGTGTGACGGTGAGCTCACAGCTGCCCCCCAGGCATGCCCAGCCCACTTAATCATTCACAGCTCGACAACTCTCCCGCCCAGCCCAGCTCTAGAGGATAAAAGTGGGGATTGCAGCTCTGGGGAACACAGCCACCTTCTGCGTCCTGCTGAGCTCTGTTCTCTCCAGCACCTAGGACCCCCAGTGCTCAGTACTCTTGCTCCACCAGGAACAAGCCATCATGTCTCGCCAGTCGAGTGTGTCCTTCCGGAGTGGCGGCAGCCGTGGCTTCAGCGCCGCCTCAGCCATCACCCCATCTGTCTCCCGCACCAGTTTCACCTCCGTGTCCCGGTCCGGGGGTGGCGGTGGCGGCTTTGGCAGGGTCAGCCTTGGGGGTGCTGGTGGAGCGGGTGGCTATGGCAGCAGGAGCCTCTACAATCTGGGGGGCTCCAAGAGGATCTCCATCAGCACTAGTGGCGGCGGCTTCAGGAACCGATTTGGAGCCGTTGCTGGCGGCGGCTATGGCTTTGGAGGTGGCGCCGGGAGCGGATTTGGTTTTGGCAGTGGCGCTGGTGGTGGCTTCGGGCTTGGTGGCGGCGCTGGCTTTGGAGGTGGCTTTGGTGGTCCCGGCTTCCCCGTCTGTCCCCCTGGCGGCATCCAGGAGGTCACCGTCAACCAGAGTCTTCTGACTCCCCTCAACCTGCAAATCGACCCCACCATCCAGCGGGTGAGGACCGAAGAGCGGGAGCAGATCAAGACCCTCAACAACAAGTTCGCCTCCTTCATCGACAAGGTGAGACATGATCCTTTGTGAAAACCCGCTCTGAGTGTGGGATAAACGCCAAAGAAAGAGGGGGTGGGGTGGGGAGCCTTTCTGACTTCGTGCAAATACTTCAGAGTTTGCAGTTGCATGTTTCCATTTGTTTCCATGTCCTGGATTTGTGGCCCACTCTCTTAATTAGACTGGCACCTTCAAAGAGAGAGTCTTATGCCCCTTCAGAGATTACCCTTTCAGGGCTCTGAGATTACTGCTGGACAAAGAGATGAAGTCCGTGCTTCCTGTAACGGGACTGATCGCATAGAGAGGAGGATGAGTCCACAGGGCAGTAGCCTGAGTGCCTCACAGCCCCCACCGTGCTGGGCCACAGTCCGCCCAAGCTGTGCCCGGTGCTGTCTGTGGCCTGGATAAGTGTCCCATCGCCCCCAGAAAAGTGGGGTTAGGCGCCTCCCTCTAGACCTCCCCTCCTGGGGCTCAGGGCCAGGCGCTGCACAGGGGAAAGGTTCATGGGGACAGCATGAGATGGAAAGAAAACTGGTGAATTGATCAATGAAACACAAAATCCAAATTTCTCATCTTCAAACTCTGTCCCCTCCAGGTGCGCTTCCTCGAACAGCAGAACAAGGTCCTGGACACCAAGTGGACCCTGCTCCAGGAGCAGGGCACCAGGACCGTGAGGCAGAACCTGGAGCCTTTGTTCGAGCAGTACATCAACAACCTCAGGAGACAGCTGGATGGTATCCTCGGTGAGAGAGGCCGCCTGGACTCGGAGCTGAGGAACATGCAGGACCTGGTAGAGGACTTCAAGAACAAGTGAGTTGGGTGGAGTGGAGAAAGGGGTGGCCGGAGTCTTCTTGGCACCAGATGTACTTCATAACCAGACTACTGCCTCTACCTTCCCCACTGACTAGAAGCATATAGCTTCCATAGACACCTAAAAAAAAATCCAAGTCCATGTTTAGAAAGTTCCAGGCCCGAGCTCGGTCCCTCTGCAAAGCACTTAGCCACCGTCCAGAGCAGCAAGCGCGGTGCCCCGGTACCACCCAGTGAAATAAGCGGTCGTGCAATCCTTGCTCTTTGGGGCTTTCCTCCCCTAGACACTCAAGGTACACAGCACGGGCTTTTGATGGATTCCCTGCAAAGCAGGGATGACATAACCCAGCTCGGTGGCTCAAATAATTTCTTTAGTCCTTCTGAACTAGCAGCTAGCCTGCTAGTTTTTTGTTTGTTTTTTTAAAGGGCTGTGAAAGCTGAAAAAAAGCACTAGAGAAATTTACTAGATGTGGAGTTGGGGAGAAACAGCACAACTCTCCTACAGGAGTATTCTTGAAGCAACTGAATTATAGCAATAATAGAATGATTATCTGGTAGGCAGCTACAGAGAAAACGGTATCCTAATGGGTAAGGATCTCGCCCAGGGGCTCACCTACCAGCGCCCCCTCCCTCTCTGCCGATATGACGTAAGAAGCTCGTTCCCGGTGGGAAAGCAGGCAGTAAAGACCCCAGGCCTCACCTGGCCCTCCTCCTCTGATAAGCACTTCCCATTGTTTTTACCACCAGGTATGAAGATGAAATCAATAAGCGTACCACCGCTGAGAATGAGTTTGTGATGCTGAAGAAGGTGCGTGGGTCGAAAAAAACCTGTAGCCAGTGGCTATGCTCTCTTAAGCTCATTCGTTTAAGTCAGGGTGGAAATCGGGTGCAGTGCCAACCATGCCTGTTTCTCTAGGATGTGGACGCCGCCTACATGAACAAGGTGGAGCTGGAGGCCAAGGTCGATGCGCTGATGGACGAGATCAACTTCATGAAGATGTTCTTCGAGGCGGTGAGAAATGCCCCCTGTTCAGGACCCAGAGAGACGGTCACTGGGACACCACCAGGAATCAGGGTCTCCAGGATTAAGCAACTTTCAGTGGCTCCTAAGCTGGACCATCCTTGTCTTTTCTATTCCTTTAGTACTACTCACACTTTGTTACTTATAAAGCCAATCCTTAAAAAAGTCAGATTTAAAGCAAAAGACCTGTTCAGCAGTCATTTGGCAGAGCGAGGTTTGGAGGGAGTTATAGAGGCACAACATACCCTTCCTGGCCTCCTCCTCTTTCCGGAATACTGTCCTCTCTCTGTTTTCTCCCAGCATGGCAGACCACACAACTAGATTCTTTTAAAATATGTTATGAGCCAAGAAGATTCGAGTCTGAGAGATTACACAGTAGGGGTTTCCTGGAGATTCAGAGTTGTTAAGATTCTTTTTAAATAGATTTAGTAACGATTTGGATTGTTTATTAACTCACCTAAATTTTTTAGGTAGATAGTTGGTATTTTTTCTCTCGAATTGATATACCGCAACGAGTAGAAGCTTTGAATGGACCTGATATTAAATAACACAGTCAGATAACTGACTTCCAATGTCCCCGCAGGAGCTGTCCCAGATGCAGACACACGTCTCAGACACGTCTGTGGTCCTCTCCATGGACAATAACCGCTCTCTGGACCTGGACAGCATCATCGCCGAGGTCAAGGCCCAGTACGAGGAGATTGCCAACCGCAGCCGAACGGAAGCCGAGTCCTGGTACCAGACCAAGGTGGGTGCTGTGGCGAATGTGTCCTGAGTGAGGAGATGGACATGTGTCCAGGACTCCAGGCCCTGACAAAACGCTAAGGATGGAGTTCCCAAAACCTATTGAGGCCTCTTGGGATGAGTTATGGGAACACTCCTGTATGCATTTGCCACATAAATTCAAGACCCTGAAGGAGAATCTCACACCAGTGTCTCTAGGAAAGCAAAGGCACTAAGGAGGAAATTCTGTCATATCAGGTCCTCCTTGATAAAGCCAAAACCAGCCCCAGGCCCCAGATAACTACGTGTCGTGTCGCTTCATGGGGATACGTTCTGAGAAATGCACTGTTAGCTGATTTCGCTGTTGTACAAACATCAGAGAGTGTACTTAAACACCTAGATGGTGTAGCCTACTACACACCTAGGCTATATGGTACTAATCTTAAGGGACCACAATTGTACGTGCAGTCTGTCGTTGACCAAAACGTCATTATGCAGTACATGACTATATACCACTTGCCACCTCATGGTAGCTCCTGCCTGTGAACTTGGGAAAGTGTTTCCATCCTCATAGAAGTAAAATCTTTCCTCTTTTCTGGTGGCATCAGTACGAGGAGCTGCAGCAGACCGCTGGTCGGCATGGTGATGATCTTCGAAACACCAAGCATGAGATCTCCGAGATGAACCGGATGATCCAGAGGCTGAGAGCTGAGATTGACAACGTCAAGAAGCAGGTAGGGAGAGGGTGAAAGAAGGCAAAGAAAGTGCCTGAGCTCTCAAAGGGAGACGTGTTTTGTTTTGTTTTGTTTTACTTTCCTTTTTCTGAACACACACACACGTACACACGCAGAGCTGGAACAAGTGCCAGTGTTTCAATGTTTCCGCATCCACAATGACCGGGATGAATGTACTGGCTTCCCTCTGGAGTCTCAGAAAGATTCAGCTCAGCTACTAAGGTGTCCCCACTCTTCCTTCCTTTTCCTCTGTAGTGCGCCAACCTGCAGAACGCCATTGCTGATGCTGAGCAGCGTGGGGAACTGGCCCTCAAGGATGCCAGGAACAAGCTGGCCGAGCTGGAGGATGCCCTGCAGAAGGCCAAGCAGGACATGGCCCGGCTGCTGCGGGAGTACCAGGAGCTGATGAACACCAAGCTGGCCCTGGACGTGGAGATCGCCACCTACAGGAAGCTGCTGGAGGGCGAGGAGTGCAGGTGGGCAAACATGGCTGACATCATGAGCCCAAGATGACCTCGCATTTGATAAAGTGGAGCTTCTTCTCCACTACAGGGTGTAAAGCACACACACAGGTGGCCACTATCTTGTGCATGATAATCATCCATCATTAATCCATCATAATTAATCATTATGACACCTGGACATACAGCTGACCTACACAATGCGGCTCCAACTCACTTCACTGACTTTATTCCTATCAGTATTCACGGATGCTGCCTCTCATTCAAACAACTAAGCAACTCAACAAATGTCATCCCCATTCTTCGGGTACCTCTTCCTTCAAGAAGCCTTTTATGATTACTCCAGCTGAGCGAAATTCACCTGACATTGGATTCTCAAACGATTCCAATTCCTCTGTTCTGCTGACACTGCCCACTGCCTGCTTTCTTTTAGAAGTGTTTCTGTCCATGCCCGGTCTTCTCACAGAATGTAATCTACAAAGCAAAAACTGCTTCATACATATTCACAGTTCCCGCAGCCTCTTACTCATGCTTTCCACGTAATGGGTGGAGGAGAATGTGCATTATAATCTTCCTCTGATAACCTGTTTCTAGGTCAACTCCTCTTCATTGGGTACTTCCCGTAGAAAGCCATGTCTTTCTCTAAACTAAGCAATTTTGGGGGGGCATGCATGCTCCTTGCTTATAGAAGAAGCTCTAAACATGACTCTTAAAGTTATTCACGTAGAGGAATGCTGTCTTTCGGCGAGTTTTTAACTCTTATTTCAATCTTCCCCCTTTCAGACTGAGTGGAGAAGGAGTTGGACCAGTCAACATTTGTAAGTAACTTTGAATAGACATTAATAATGATGATAGTTTGGGATGTTTGGTGCCAACTCACAATCCTGCTGTTTCTAGACACCAGACACTCCCATCCCCATATAGTTACTTAGTGCGCTTAGTGAGCAGCAGGTGATGAGGGGAAGAACACAGATTGAGACATGAAGCAATGTGGCTCATGTCTTATCTCTTAAAGACCACACCCTGTATCTTACACATCTTGCGCCCTGTCCACCTGCCTTGCCCCTTCCCCTCGAGGAACTAAATGACTTAGTTCTTCTGGGCCTCATTTGCTGCTCTGTAAAAGGGGCCAGGTTCAGGGCTAACATTAGTAGGATCAAATAAATTGGACGTGTATGATCAATCTGACAGACTGGTCTCACCATGTGCTCCCTCCTTTCCCTGCAGCTGTCGTCACAAACAGCGTCTCCTCCGGCTACGGCGGTGGTAGTGGTTTTGGCGGCGGCCTCGGTGGAGGTCTTGGCGGCGGCCTCGGTGGAGGTCTTGGCGGCGGCCTCGGTGGAGGTGGCAGCGGAAGCTACTACTCCAGCAGCAGTGGGGGTGTCGGCCTAGGTGGCGGGCTCAGTGTAGGGGGCTCTGGCTTCAGTGCCAGCAGCGGCCGAAGCCTGGGGGTGGGCTTCGGCAGTGGCGGGGGCAGCGGCTCCAGCGTCAAGTTCGTGTCCACCACCTCGTCCTCCCGGAAGAGCTTCAAGAGCTAAGAGCCCGCTGCGACACTGCCTCCCGTGTGCAGCGACCCGGCCCGCGGCGACCGCCTCTTCGAGGTGGCTGCCTGAGCCAAGTTTTCTCTTTTTCTGGAGTGTAGTCTAGACCAATCCCGTTGTAGAACCACATCTTTGGTTCCTGGAAGGGCCCATCCCCCGTCTCTAGTCTTCCGTTTCGCGATTCTATGTTCTGCTTCGAATCAACCTTTAGGTCTCTAGGGCGTGGTCCTCGGTGACAACACATTTTCCAGCATCTAAACTGTCAAAACGGAGTCCCCACCCCAATCTCAAATTTTGTTCTGGTTCTGACTACCTCCAGAGTGTGTTCAATAAAATGCTTTTATAATATAAGCTGTTGTACAGACTTGTTTTTTCAAGGTCTACAACCAGCCTAGAGACCCCCTGAGGGTCCATCCAGATGTGATCGGACCCTCTGATGACTCACCGGGAGAATGAAAGGACCTTGAAGGGAAAGTGGCCATCACGGATGGTCCAGAGATTGCAGGAAGCATCTGAGAAAAGCCTCTAGAATGAAGGAGACTCTGGCAGGTGTGAATGGGAGTGTGTGTTCTATTGCAACTTGGACGAAGTGCAGAGCCTCTTGTTGGAGACGGGCCCCGTTCAAGGTGGGCTGAACAGCATAAACGGGTTTAAGTAAAATTTTTAAGTAAAGAATACGTTGCCTTCAGAGCCCCAAAAGACCTCATAGATGTTGGGCCTGTTCTAACATTGTGGGTACTGAGAGGATCAATAGCTGTTTCTTCACAGTGTCAAGGATGGAGCGGCCCTCAGATTACCAGATACTTTCAGGAATTTAACTGAGGCGGCAGCAACTTACACGGTGTGGGGAACAATGGTCCATCCTTTCTTTGTGAGCGCCTTTGTGAATATTTGTATGTCCTGAGTGAGTGTGTCCGGTGACTCTCTTTGAGGGAGGATTTATCATTGTCATATCATACCTGTGCTCCTGGTGACAGTCAGATGCATTTAGGGTCTTGCCTGCCAAGACTGTGTGCAGTGGCAGGGCTGTCGAGCATCTGGGTAAAGACATACTGTGCCCCTTTAGAGGTGAAGGCAAACCGTGACTGAGAGGCTGTTGAAACGGGCACTGAACAGCGCACCATTAGCCAAATCCATGAGAAGAAAATATTTACGAGTTGCTGATTGCAGTCAGTAATTTCAATACTCTTGGGTCAGGGCCCTTCATGAGTGTGACCATGGCATCAGGGTTGCGGTAATCCACTGGGAGGCACCTTTATTCTTTCTAAGTTTAAAAATAGGCCAAATTGGGCTGTTGAATGGAGAAACAGTGCATATAATCATCCTTTCTCTAAAGACTTCTCCTATAATGGCTTTCACTCTTTGAAGGTCCTGTTTTAATTTACACTGGAACGTATATTAACTATTTTAACTGGAAGAAGGTCCATGGAGTACCCCCCGTTTTTTTTGATGGGGAAGATTGGCCCTGAGCTAACTTTGTTGCCAATCTTCCTCTATTTTGTATACGGGATGCCACCAGTGCATGGCCTGATGAGCAGTATGTAGGTGCATGCCCAGAATCTGAACCTGCAAACCTTGGGCTGCCAAAGCAGAGCACGCAGACTTAACCACTACTCCACCAGGCTGGCCCCCCATGGAGTCCCATTTTGTCAAACCAATTTGTAAGTGTCAAGGACTTAATTTTTTTTTTTTTTTAAAGATTGGCACCTGCCCTAATATCTGTTGCCAATCTTTTTTTTTCCTTCTCCCTAAAGCCCCGTTGTACATAGTTGTATATTCTAGCTGTGAGTGCCTCTGGTTGTGCTATGTGGGACGCTGCCTCAGCGTGGCCTGATGAGCGGTGCCAGGTCCGCACCCAGGATCCGAACCAGCAAAACCCTGGGCTGCTGAAGCAGCGCACACGGACTTAACCACTTGGGCACGGGGCTGGCCCCTCAAGGACTTAATTTAATTTTAACTTGTTACTCATTGGGTCAGAATGTCCATGACCACTGTGAGGTATTTTGGAGCCAATGGGTGGTGTAATCATGTGAAATTTAGGCAATTCAGTAGTTCTGATAATTAAGATGCGGCATGCTTGTCTGTTCTCTAGCTTGTGGTCAATGATTTCCCTAAGATTACAGGGGTACCTTGTTTAAATTTAGTGAGATTCCCAGGCACTGGTGTAATTTGAGCTCCAGTGTAGAGTAAGGCCAGGAAGATTTTGTGAACTTGTGTCCTTCAGCAGATGTCACAGTTAATTCAGAACCTATGTGGTAGAGGCACAAAGCCAATCCAAACCCCTTTTTATCGTTTTGATGTATAAACTCTTTTACTAAATTTTGGATTTCCAATTGCATCAAATTGTGCTTCAGTTTTTCGTTTCCTCCCCATTTCCAGGGTTCTTTCTTTCCTTTCTTTCTCTCTCTCTTTCTTCTTTCCTTCCATCTTCTCTCCTTCCTTCCTTCCTTCCTTCTTTCTCTCTCTCTGTCTCTTTCTTTTCTGTGGTTACTGGATACACTGGCAGGAGACAGGGATAGTTCCTGCCCTGCTCATGTCTATCAATTTCTTCCTCCAGAGAGCCTCACATCAGTATCTTCAGGGCTTGGGGCCTCCCCCATGGAAATAGTTGAATTAACCCCTTAATTGTGCCACAAAGGTATCATATGTACTTTCCCCTATAGCCCTGAAGATGATGGTCTTTCTTGTCAACAGAGGCGCAGCAGCAAAGGCATTTTGTAAGGTCCTAGTGAACCATCTGCCTTTAAAAGTGTGGCCACAGAGTAACCGCTCTTCCTCCACGTGAGCGATCACCTGACAGGACTATATATTGCACAGGTTATCAACCTCTCCCCTGAGCACTTCACAGAATGGGGCCAACACCTGCTTGAGACACACACCAACGTTCACAGGGTAAGAGTTATTCCCTCGAGCTTAGCACCTGTCACTCTTTATGGAGGAATTGAAAGCAATTCAATGTGAGACACACAGATAGGTCTGAGCTGAGACACACCACCCAATGCCACTTTAAGGAGGGCCCCAAACCCATACTCCCGCCCCTAAAGGACAGTTATTGAAACTCCTGACATATGTCAGTTAAGTCCACAATAGAGGCCTTGGTAGAACTCAGTAAATGTAGCACAAAGCAGCACAGCTCAAAGTGAAGCTTGGCAGCAAAGAGCAACACAACTCAGAGAGCCCACTAGCCAGAAAGTGGCAACTCAAAGTGCCTGCTCACAAGCAGACAGTAGGGCCAAATTGCAGGCCAAGCAAGAAAAGAAAGACCTCAGAGGTAGCAGTCATCATCTGGACATCTTGCTCAGAGTGCCAATTTTTGTGGCCACTCTACAGAGGCAGGATGGATCCCCACTCAGAATTTGGTTCAGCTACTGAGATTGATGACCCCACATGCTCCAAGGTGGTATGAAAATGTATAAATGATATTACTCATGCAATAAGGCTTTCTAGAGAGAGTAGGATAGACTTCCCGAGCTGGTCCAAATATGGCTTGAAAGAGAAGGGAGAGGAGACTGGAGTGGGGTTTTTTAAGTGGTTAGGAATGGGACCAGGCTGAGGATTCCTGCACATGGTTTGAAGTTCCCACCTGTTACAAAGGAGGGACCACCCAGTCTTACTTATCAGTTTCCTCAGATGCAGGTAAAGGAGAAGAGGGAAGGATGGGGCTTAGAAGCTGTCAACTGTCAAACATCATTACTGTGAGGGTGGTTTAATATTCAAAAAGATCAATCATATAATATACATTAACAGAATAAAAGGAGAGAAATCAAATGGTCATCCCCCAAACAGATGGCAAATATTATACTTAATACTGAATGATCAAAAGTTTCTCACTGAGATCAGGAAGGAGGCAAGGATCACTATAATCACCACAGTTATTCAACACTATATTGGAGATCATAGCCAGTGCAATAAGACAAGACAAAGAAATAAACATCTTAAGGATTAGAAAGAAAGAAAGAAAACTGCAGTTACTCACATAAGATATGATTATGTATGCAGAAAAACCAAAGATTCTCCAAACTGTTAGAATTAATAAGTGAATTTATCAAGGTCACTAGAATTGTATTTCCATATACTAGCAGAAAGCAATTAGAAAATGAAATGTAAAAGATACCATTTCCAGTAGCATCAAAAATATGTATATGAGAATAAATGTAGCCAAAGATATGCAAGAGTTATGCACAGAAAACTATGAAGCTTATTGAAAACAACTAAAGAAACCTAATAAACAGAGGTACACGCCATCTTCATGGATTTCAAAACTTAAGATTGTAAACGTGTTAATTTCCCCCAACTGAACTATAGATTCAAAGCAATTCCAATCATATTTCAGAAGGTATTTTATGGAAATTGATAAACCTATTCTAAAATTTGTATAGAAATGAGAAAGATCTAAAATAGTCAAAACGATCTTGAAAAAGAACAAAGGTCTTATAGTTCCAGGTACCGAGACTTATTAGGAAGATATATTTATTAAGAGAGTGTAGTATTAGGGAAATAACTGAAAAATGGACCAATGTAACAATATATAGAATTTAGAAACAAACCACATATATGTTCACTAGATTTACAACAATGGTGCCATCACAGTGCAATAGGGAAAGAATGGCTTTGCACAAAAAATGGTACAAGGTCAGTTGACTCTCCGTATGGGAAAAAAACGTATCACAAGTCCTAATTCACACCATTCACAAAAATCAGTTTCAGCTGTATTATAGTCCTATATGTGAAAAGTAAAACAATATGTTTAGAAGAAAATAGAACGTATCATTGTGATCTGAGGGTGGGCAAAATTCCTTAAACACCATAAAAAATTGCTTACCTTAAAAACAGCATAAACATCTGTTCATAAAGCAATGTGAAGAGAGCAAAGCAGCAAGCCACGACCCATGAAAAGATATTTACAATACATATATCCCTCAAAGAAATTGCACACAGAATATACAAAGAAATACAAAACATTATCCACAACAACATTCTTCTCAAGTATACGTGGGATATTCACAAGGATAGACCACATACTGAGCCAATTTCAAAAGGTTGAAATTATATAGACTATGTCCTATGGCCACCGTATATTAAATTAGAAATAAAAAACAATAAAATATCTCAGAAATCCTAATTTTTTGGAAATTAAACAAAATACTTCTAAGTAACCTATGGGTTCCTCAACGAGGGGATGATTTGGAGGAGAGGGTGTTAAGTTTGCCCTTGCCTATTGTCTGCCACTTACAATAGGGATCTGGAATGGCAGGCCACCACCAGTGCCCTGTCTGTAGTTCAATACACGGGCAGATCTACTTCATAGGCAAGGTTGTGAGATTTAGCAAATAAAAATACAAGATGCACAG